CCTCTGACAGTTTTTGGATCACTGTTAAGTAAAACCACTTTTTAAACAACTTCTTAAAGATGGCAATATTTGAACACTAAACAATTAAACTCACCCTTGTCTGTCAGGTTCTCCATCAACTTCCTCATCAGCACTACAGGTGGCACTCGAATCATTATCTGAATGGGACTCTTGTCTTGCTGTATTAACTTGTTGTGGCAGACTATAGTCCATTTCCTCTGGTTCTGACTTTTCCTTGGGTTTCTCCATCTCTCTCTCTTTGGTATCACTCTCTATTTTCACTTGAATATTCTCTGGTAGCCTCATTTCGGTCTCTACAGGTTCTACTTTGGTATGCACTGGAAGAGTAATCACAGGCTTAGCTTCAACTGTGTGGCTTCTACTGTCAACCTCCATAGGCTCTTCTGCCTCATTATTTATTTCTTCTTTAACCTGTGGCTCAGGGTTCTGACTTTCAGCTGTTGATACACTTGGGGCTGTTAATGTGGGAGATGTGCTGGTTGCAGGTTTAATGGTAGGTTCTTGTTCTGCTGCTGCCTCAGTGGTTACTTTCGAAGCAGCACTCTCAGATGGAGTTTCTTCACTTGGTTTCGCAGGTTCTGCTGGAGTTGGAGATGGAGCACTTTCTGTATCAGAACTATTTTCAGCACCTGGGGAAAAAATGTTTTGGCATAAAAGTTCAACTTTAATGAAATCTAACTAGGCTTCGATGAACTGCTTCTTTAGAATAATCAAACATATGTCTGCTGTCCCAAAATACAAGACAATTGCCCTGAAGAATCAACTCACAAAGGGAGGGTAACCAAAAATCAGCAGATACAGGTTAAGGAGGGAGACTGGAATTACAGAAATAAGACTACTTAGCGAGCTCTCATCCTACAGAGAGCCAGCCAGGCCAAATCTTGTGCATATGTCAGAGACTTGGTACTACCATTTACGATGCAGCTTTATTACGAGATCAGAGTCAACATTCACAGTACCTAAGGTGCTGTTTTAATGACTTAAATTAACATGTTTTAGAGGCATCACCAGTAGAAGTGGCAAAACATTGACTTTACACGAAAATCAGTCACATTTTATAGACATGCTGACTTGTAATTCTTGCTGTAAGTTAACAGTTCTAGTTTACTTCCTTTGTGAATCACCATTGTTTTCTTGAAAATGTCTTCTTTGGTCTGTGAAAGGTGTAAATAGCATCGACAATCAGACACCAATTATAAAAGGGTATCAATTCTTGTAGTAAAGAACCTCCCTCCTCTTTTTAGCCTACTTCATGAACTTCATTATATTATAAATAGCTTTTAGATATAAACATTTATGAAAAACTATGGCAACACCTAGAACATAGATGTTATATTCAAGTCTTATCTTCTGACAAGAAACTTAGTTCCTTACACCCACATCAATATTTTAACAATGTTAGTTAAACAAATGGATGCAATAAGGACCCATCGATTTCAGCCTACTCATCTGTAAAACTCATCTGTAAATTTAGAAATTCTATGGCTTTTTTTTTCACAAAAGGCTGGCCAAAACTGACTGATGTTGAGTGCCTGTAATTACTAGCAGTTGCAATCAACAGATTTTTTTAAAAAAACAAAGAAACCCACAAAACCCCACCACTCAAATTTGCCTGTCTGAAGCTTTACTGAGATTATCAGCTAGCAAAGGTCGTGTATCTTTGATTCAACTTCTTTCAACACGCACAAATTTCCTGATCAGGTGCTGTCTGTTTACTCTCTAGATGAGAGCACAGTCAAAGCCTCTCAAAATACTAAACAATAACATCTTAAGGCTGCTCCATGCTTTTTCCCCTCCAGTGAGTTCAATTGCTAAAATACAACTGAAACATAGTATTTGAGCACTATATTATGAAATGGAACACGGCTTTCTGAGTATATAATTGGTACAAAACATAGGTCCCTTTCTCTGCACACACAAGTTTCCCTCCCAGAAAAGTCACCTTCACTGTCTTCTGGATTCTCTTCTTCATTAGATGCTTCAATATCTTCATCCTCCTGAGCTGACACAGTCGAAGCTACACTCTCACACTGTGACACATCTCGCTCCTCACGGGGCCTTCGTGAAGACTGACAAAGACATGGCATTTACATTGTACCGAAAATTTGCAAGTATTATTTCCTTTTACATGCATTGTCATTTATCAATCTGAGGTTGAAATGAAAGACAGAGAAACTCTGTTTAGCACAGATTCATTCACAA